TTATTATTATTATTATTATTATTATTATCATTATTAAAAGTGGTATATGCCTAAATGGTACTTATTTTCCTACACCGCTGAGACAATAACAAGTAGTCTAGTTTTTGTCGTTTTCTGCCCTAATAAAATGTTTAAAACAAATTCAACACAAATGCAATCACTTAATTTACAAACTTGTTTAAAAAAGTTAACCCAAAAGTTTTATAACAAAACTCACAAAACAAAACAACCAATTTATTCATCCACTTTGTATCTACTGTTCAAATTTTATATAAAACTTATACTTTTGGCCATGAAAAAAAAAAAAAAAAAAAAAAAAAAAAAAAAAAAAAAAAAAAACGGGCTCTTGCTCATAGTCAGTGACGTAATAAAAATGCGACACTGATTTGTTTAGGAGTTTAAAAATGGCGTCGTATTGTTTGACTGTCTCCAGACTCCGGGTAAGTAAACGATTTTTTTCGTTTTTTTATTTTTACAGAACTGCTTGCAGACATGATGCAGTCTACTGAGGATTTAACATAAAATATTTTACGTCTGTGTTTCAGCTACCGACTATTTTAGCCGTCTAACAGCCGATTAATCAAGAGAAAAGCTGCTGTTCTCAGATTTTTTAAACGTCCTGACTCCTGACAGCATTGTAACGACTGRCTCCCACTTGATAAAGATCTCACGCAAAAGTGTTGCTAAACCTGTCATTTGTAAACATTGGTTCAGTCAACGTCAGTCTGGCGGTAGAAGCGGGCCTCGGTCAGCTGTTGTTTACAAGGTGATCACAAGGTTATGCTTTGGTTTAGTTTTAAGTCGAGTTGTACTTTTGACAGCTGGAGCCGACAGCAGCGTGTTTCTGCTCCACGAAAAATCCCATAATATGATGTTGGTACCGTTTTGTTACCGAATTTGTTTTCTATAATGAGTCTAATTATGGTTTGTCTATTTCTTTTATTGAAGGAAACGGAAAGTTTTAATAGGTTGCGTTAGTCGTTTATACATAAACATTAACCACAGATGTTAGTGTCATCTGATCTGAAGAAGGCAAACTACAGGAAGCTGAGTCAGCTTTTTGTGTTTGTAGTTTCGTATAAAAAAAGGAACCAACTGCCTACAACATTTATGTATGAATTTATTTTCACCAAAAGCTAGTAATAGTTGGAACAAAACACAAACTACTGTATGATAAGTACACACAGAAACGAGTGCCACTCCTCACATTCACAAATACTATAGGAATGCATTTTTTTCCCTACCAGTTTGGACTTTGGTTATTTAACATATTACCCCCCAAAATATGCGACGATTATTTCAAGTGTGGTAAATATGTGTGCTGTCTTTGTAATGTTCATAACACTCTCAATTTGCTGGATTTGGGCATTTATGTGATTGCCAAACATACATTTTTAGAATTGTTCATTAATATTGATTATTTAATGCACACTTTTTGTTGTTGGTGATAACACCTTACATCCAAATATTCCTCTTTCATGACTTGATTACACAAAGCAAACCCAAATTCTCCATGTTTGACTCATTAAAATGTCTTCATATCGACTTCTTGTAAGGGTTAACGTATTTGTAWCCAAATACCCAAGCAACTTTTCATTTACTGTTACTTTACTCTCTTATTTATAATAGTTMCCAGTTTGAAGATTGGATTATCTTTACATCACAGATAACTTTTCCTAAAATTATTGTAACCTTACATAGAAGGAATGGTTGGACCTTGTATCTGGGATTGTAGATTATAGTTGTGGTAATGAAACAAAAAAAAAACTTTTTGCCCCAAACTCTATGTGATTAACAGCATCAGTGAATGTTTAATCCACTCAGTGTTGTCAAAGTGCAAACTGCAGTCCAGTGGGTGAGGCTGACCCGCATGAGCCAGAAGAACTTTAACCCAGAGAGTAGTGATGTTCCACTGAGTCCACAAAAGATTCTTAAATGAATAAATGTAATTGGTTTAAAGATGTTTCTGGTCAATTATTGCCATGGCAGATTTGAATTTAATTTTAAGTTGTGACCGAAACTTTAAACAGGCAATTTCTTTGTATTTTCCAATTACACAATAAATATGTCAAATACTCAGTTTCTGACAACAGTTTGAGTCCCTTTTTTGTCTAAAATGTACTATGAAGTACTGTAAATATTTGAGAACAAGATAGAGGGTTCTTCTTTTTTTTACTGGTCCAGCTGTCAGCGAAGGTGTATGTTTTAACCAACCCATGCTTTCTTTCCTGTGGAACTTTTTCCACGACTTTTATCATTTAAATGCCTTTCTGACCTTTGTTTCTTCACACCTTGCTCAGTGCTCAGTGATACATTAAAATAGTGGAAATGTTTTTTTTTTGCTCTTTCTGATCTAGTTGGCTCTCGGAACAGGAGCAAGATGGTTTCATGTCTCTGCAGCCTTCGGTGCTAAGGCCAAGGTGGCCATGAGCCGCTTTGAGCCAGGCTCAAGTGTTAACTATAAGAAGATGCACGAGAACATCAACATTGTACGCAGAAGGTCAGAAATTCCAGCCTCCTAGTGCTGAGTTAGTAAAGTCATTTCAGAGCAAATTTGTCTCCTGCCCTGAGAAACCCAACACACACACACACACACACACACACACACACACACACACACACACACACACACA